ATAACTGCAGAAGATCTTTCTGCTGTTGTGGCAATGAATGGACACTCAACAATTGAAAAGATTCCTTCCATGCCTTAGAAGCGTGACTTGATCAGTACTTATCTACACAGCATGCTGGCATCAAAGATCCTGTTTCTCATATCGAATCCCTAGTCTTCCACACTTTAGGAAACATAAACATTCAGGACGTGCCATTAGCACAGCCTGCACTAAAAGGTGGCTGGAGATTACGGATGGCAACACAGAGTGCAACGCCAATGTCACCTTGAAAAACCTGCCATGACCCGGACTCGGACCGGGGTTGCTGCGGCCACAACGCAGAGTACTAACCACTATACGATCACGGCGAGCTACGGGACAGCCGTCGTGGCTCTTTTGTGGTTTGTTCCTGCCTGTGATATGCCCCTTTCTGTTCAGTGAGAACACGCTGTTGTTTTTCTCCTCCTACCAGCACAACGCTTTTCCCAAGAAACAATGGAAATGCAAACAATTGATGACTGCTGCAATTTAAAAAAGAGAGAGGGCGTAGTCGGCAGGATTCGAACCTACGCGGGGAGACCCCAATGGATTTCAAGTCCATCGCCTTAACCACTCGGCCACGACTACAAGACTGTCTGAACTGCCATGTCTTCATTAATACTACACGTATTGTGCATCCAGATGAAACTTTCATTAAGCGATAGCTCAACGGCAAAAGCTGTGGCTCCACAAAATGAGCCTTACACACCCAAACAGGGACTTGAACCCACGACCCTTAGATTAAAAGTGTGTTGCTCTACCGACTGAGCTATCCAGACTCCACAACAGTAAATTACAAGTAGGCAATCTTTAGGGTTGTGGTCGGCGCAGACCTTCACAGAACACTAAAGTTTACCGTGAAATGAGGTTTAAGTTTATGGTTGGTGTAGATGTTGCTAAAACACGACAGGTTACTTTAAGGTTGGGTTTATGGTTGTTGTAGATGTAGACATTAGTACAACACAATAGTTTGGACTTCATGTCATGTAGGAGACATTAAATAGATCAATGATAACTGCAGAAGGTCTTTCTGCTGTTGTGGCAATGAATGGACACTCAACAATTGAAAAGATTCCTTCCATGCCTTAGAAGCATGACTTGATCAGTACTTATCTACACAGCATACTGGCATCATAGATCCTGTTTCTCATATCGAATCCCTAGTCTTCCACACTTTAGGAAACGTAAACATTCAGGACGTGCCATTAGCACAGCCTGCACTAAAAGGTGGCTGGAGATTACGAATGGCAACACAGAGTGCAACGCCAATGTCACCTTGAAAAACCTGCCATGACCCGGATTCGAACTAGGGTTGCTGCGGCCACAACGCAAAGTACTATCCACTATACAATCACGGCGAGCTACGGGACAGCCACTGTAGCCCTTGTGTGGTATGTTTCTCCCTGTGATATGACCCATTTCTGTTCAGTGAGAACGCTGTTGTTTTTCTCCTCCTACCAGAACAACGCTTTTCCCAAGAAACAATGGAAATGCAAACAATTGATGACTGCTGCAATTTTAAAAAGGGAGAGGACGTAGTCGGCAGGATTCGAACCTGCACAGGTAGACCCCGATGGATTTCTAGTCCATCGCCTTAACCACTCAGCCATGACTACAAGACTACCTGAACTGCCATGTCTTAATGTGTAGTACATGTATTGTGCATCCAGTTGAAACTTTAATCAAGCAATAGCTCAACGGCAAAAGCTGTGGCTCCACAAAATGAGCCTTATACGCCCGAACAGGGACTTGAACTCTGGACCCTCAGATTAAAAGTCTGATGCTCTACCGACTGAGCTATCCAGGCTCCACAACAGTAATTTACAAGTAGGCAATGTTTAGGGTTGTGGTTGGCAAAGACCTTCACAGTAAACTAAAGTTTACCGTGAGATGAGGTTTAAGCTTATGGTTGGTGTAGATGTTGCTAAAACACGACAGGTTACTTTGAGGTTGGGTTTATGGTTGTTGTAGGTGTAGACATCAGTACAACACAATAGTTTGGACTCCATGTCATGTAGGAGACATTAAATAGATCAATGATAACTGCAGAAGGTCTTTCTGCTGTTGTGGCAATGAATGGACACTCAACAATTGAAAAGATTTCTTCCATGCCTTAGAAGCATGACTTGATCAGTACTTATCTACACTGTAAATATATAAATATATATATAAACAGGACTTTACAACTCTGAAATATAAACTTTCTAAAATGTTTGAGGTTATGTAAAAAAAAAATGTGACTACTTGAAATTAGCATAATTGAACAGCCATTGCACCAGCACCTTTAAACATGGCAGCATATAGACGTTTGAAGGAATAGACGTTTAGCTTAAAAGCTGATTTGTAAGACTGGAGTTTAGATTTTCTAACGGAAAAATACAACAATACTGTTGTCAAAAGTACTGGGTTTGGTACCAATCAGTACTAAAATTTAAAAAATAAATATTTCCTGCTAACATTCAAGCAAAAATGAGCATGTTCTTAAACACCACTGATTGGTTGTTGTGTTCACATGCTCTACAGAAATGACTGTGATTGGCTGCTTCACTGCTGTTCACTTAATGCAAACACAATTACACAGACACTGGAGCATTTTAAAGCGCCTTCGATCAGCTGATTTGTCCATAAGCTGACATATGATCGACAGGGCTCTAAAAAGCTTCAGTGTCTTTGTATTTGCACTTGGTAAAGATTGGTAAAACAATGACTGTCACGACCAATCAGTCATATCTTTTGAGCATGTGAACACAATGGACAATCAGTGCTTTCAATGTTAGCGAAAAAATTATATTTTTAAATTTCAGTACCTTTTGATATAGAATTTCTATACTTTTTGACAACCCTAAAAATCACAATACAAAAAAAATCAGTTCCTTAAACACTACAATGTGGCAAATAATTTCTGCACTGCAAACAGCAACGTAGCAAAAAACGGCTTTACAACCCTGAAATGCAAACATTCTTAAATGTTAGAAAATACCTAAAAACTGTGACTACTTGAAATTAATGCAATTAAACTTGCCATTGCACCTGCACCTTTAAATATGGCAGCATATTGGCACTTGCAGAGGAACAGATATTTAGCTTAAAAACTGATTTTTAAAAGTCTAAAGTTTCAATTTGAGATTTTACCTACCTAGGGAAAGGCTTTGCAATTAAACATGCCATTGTGCCAGAACCATTCAACATAAAACACGGCAGCATATAAGCACTCACAGAAAAAACAGACGTTTAGCGAAAAAGCTGATTTTTAAGGGTCTGAAGTTTTGGTTTCAGATTCTTCACTCCCAGCGAAAGCATCACTCGTTGAACAAATTCAAATGTGTTGCTCATAGTCTTTGGGTAGTCCAAATTCAGTGCATAAATCAAAGCAAACAGGAGACATACTGCATGTGGCAAAGTAGGGACATCGTCCATCACTACTTTTCCTTCCAGTATTATGGCCCGTTTTGCATCCACATTGAGGTCATTAGGACATCTGGCAGGCATGTCCTTACAGAAGATGGTCAGCAGGCCAACATCTACTCCACTGAAGTCAGCCTCTACATCCACATCCTATGAATAAAGAAAGAAAAATAAGTTTAATATTTCATATTACACTAATAAAGCATATAGTGGCCAGGAGACCAAAAGCATAGGTGAAAAAAATTACACTTCAATGTACTTAATTTGGTAAGACATTAGTACATGGACCAATTACACTATTAATTGTAGCATATTAGCATGACTTTTAAAGTGATCATAAAACTTATTTAAAACCCTTTTTTTCATAACTACTTTTTTTCCCCCCAAGACTGACAATCCTCACCTGAACACTCCATGATACTATTTTATAGGAACTATCAGTTTTTTAAATGAAAGAAACACTGTAATGTAATAAAAAAAAACTGCACAAGTGTTTTTTTTTCTTCCAAAAAAATGAAGAACCAAAAAATGAATGCACTTGGTTTTACTAGATTAAAGCTGCCCAACACCCATATTTTTAATTTTTAAACCAACAGAAAACATACTGAACACCTGTGACATATTTTTAACAATTCATGACAACATATGAATTATACAAATAAATAACATTATAACATAATAAACCAAACTGCACTAAATGTGCTTTTGAAATGTCTTTGTTAAGTGTGCACGTGTTCGCTCAGGGGGGAAAGAGAAATAAAATGTTTTACTTGATGCACCATTTAGGTTTTTGAACATTATTGAGCTAATATACACACATCATTACATGTCATTATTACAATTTTGAAATAACGGTTAACTATGATCTATATAATAATATGTCAATTTAAATTGAAAATGAAGCAGTCAGTCAAGTTTGCATTATTTAGTAAACCTATTTCCAATTTAATAATAAAAATTTTAAAGCAAATGAAGGTTTTATTATTGGCTTTTAGAGCAAGGGTGCAGCCATTTACAATACCACAGCGGGTGACTTCAGAGGGTTGGTTATCATTTTACGGAGCATCTTTTGACAGCATGGCTTTTTACATCCTAATCCAGTGTGTACTTCCAACAGAAATTATATTGCTTTCAAGGTATTACATGGCTATTTCACTTATTAGGAACTTAGTAGTATACTTATTATTATTTCACTTATTAGAATCTTCCTCTTTTTCAAAACAAGTATGTTCAAAAATTAAAGCAATGCATGCATTACCTCACCGGCCTATGAAGCAAACTAACCCTGTGATGTCACATACTGTGAATTTTACAAGAAGGCAGCACTCTTGCTCCAAAAGCCATAATAAAACTTTCCTTTTACTTAAAAAATAATTACATTTGCTTTATTTTAGTTGTTTTATAAAAGGGGAAATTGATTTCAGTAAATAAAGTAAATTTGAATGATTGCCTCATTACCACTCTAAAAAGCAGAAACAATAATACTACTTACAAAACACATCCTGAAAAAATCTTCAGACTCATCCCCCAAAAGGACTGGAAGACCCTGAAGAACTGCGGAGCGGACCACTGTCACATCAAATGGCTATGAAAAAGTAAAGACAGGTAGACATGCATTAAAGCTCAACGAAAAAAATCAAATGGAAACGATGATTCAAAGATGATGTCAGGAAAAATACCTTAGAATAAACTTGTTGCAAAATCTCATCTAGTTTTTTTCCCTGATTTCCTCCTCTTTTTTTGAAAATTTCTATCAAGCGAGCTGAGTGTGTGTCTAATGCAGTGTAGAACTCCGATCTCAAATTTCTTCCCGAAATTCGACTGAATTCTGCAAAGATCTAATTAAAAACATTGAGTCAATATTAAGATTCAAAAACACAAATTTAAAAAATCATACTAAGTTTTGAAAAGAAAACAAACCTGACTTTCCAAAAAAAGTGCCGGCCACTTTTCCAAGATGTCACTGACAAGAGGTTCAGAGTGGACAATTTCTTTTCGTCTCAAGGCAAATGTACTGTCCATCTTTTGGCCAATCAAGCTCATGTTTAGAGGCCTCCTTTTCATTTCTTCTACAAGTTCTATTGTACGTTCTTGGCTTTCTTCATCTTCGCCATTAGGAAAGTTTGGCAAGAAATTCAACTCAGATCGTCTGGGTTTTTTGATGCCTTTATGCTTTGTTGCCTTCATGGCACCTCTCTTTTCCCCAATTGCAACATCACTACAGCCAGATTTACGCATTTTTGATCTGTAGTTGGCCATTTTAAACTTTAGGCTGTTTTTCCAGCCAGCAAAGCCTGATGTGGAGCCCTGTTCAGTCAAACATGGGTGTGTTTTGATGAGAGCTGCAGCAACTTGGGTAAAATCCTCATCACTTGGATAGGCCCTAAATGTGTAAATGGCCCCAGCAAGCCCCTCCAGTATGTCATGTTTTATGTCTCTTCCAACGTCAGCAGTTGTACCATCTTTCATAAAAGCTAGGTTTCCCTGTCGTAGACGATACTCAACATTAACCGAGAATTTAGGTATCTCAAACTCATCTGGCCATACAATCTGTCGTTCAGCAGACAACTGCTCTGATGTATCAGAACCTGAGAGAATTATGGTGTCAGCTTGACTTGAGGAAGGTGATGTGTCCAGAGGAATTATTTTCACCGTCGCTCTCTCTGGTAAGTCATTAATGTCACTGATATTGCATAATGCATTGTTAAAAAAAGGGTCTTCATACTGGAGGTTGAATGGGTATGCAAGTTGCAGTTTCTTCTGCAGCACTTGTTTTAAAGCATCAGCATCAGCTGGTGTTTCCTCTAAGACAACCTTCCGGATGTCACTGTCGTGCACAATAACGCGAAGTGTCATGGACATGGCTAAGTGAAATTCTAAAACAAAGAAAGTAGAAATCAGAAACATGCAATGATACAATGCAGTTTAGCAACAAATGTAATACTTCAATGTGACATATAAACACCCTCAAATATTATAAGCTGCCAAAGGGAAGGGGTCATTCAGTTCAGAAGGCAGAACAACTTGAAGTGAATGCAAACTGCACAATTCATAAGAGCGCAAATGCTCAATGTACCATGCAGATTGTGGTTCGCAGAGAAACATTATCTCGGTGTTGACTGTTAAGATTTTCTCTATCTGCATGAACTCTGGCAAACCTGAACAAGACCCAACTGATAATACCATGTTTGGGCAGTACCTAATTCCATCAATGTAAACACTAGATGAAACTAGCACAGAGCTACAACTAGGACTCTGCAGATGTAGGTACTCTTGTACAGCTTCAGGAAAAGCTGTTAAAAGAGAACTAACCACCCTGTCCATTTGTATTTTTGGCTTGAAAAAAGAGCTGCCATCCATATGATAGGCAATTGCCATTTGATGCTTCTTGGCCAGCATTAGGGGGACATTTTTGAAATTGTGTGCATCACGGATCACTTTCTTGAAGAACTTATGTTTCCCCTCAAATCTGATGGTCCATAAATTCCTCAGTGGTCCATATGTTCTAATCAATTGAGGATAATGCTCCAAGTAGTGATGCTTTGGGCGTAGTACAAAGTTTGGAAACACATCTTGAAGCAAAGCTCTGTGTTCTGAGATCTTAAAATTCAAGAACTCCACTGTGTCATCAGAAAACTGGCTAGACAAAGCCAATTCAACAACATCTTTTAACAACATTAGAATTTCCCAGGTATGATCATTCTCTTTCACTTTATGGCCAATCAAGAATGGGAGGAGCCTTAGGAGGGCCCAATTTTCATGGCCATTTCCCCCTATTGTTTGTTTGCTTTTGTATGATTTTGGAATTGGCTGTGGCTGGTCAGTCCTGTCTGAAAATTTGTATGGAAATTGTTTGATGGCATTATTTAAAGAATCCAGTGAAAAGTAATGCTTTCCAATTAAATCCTGCAAACACAATGCCAACTCCACAGGAACAATACCCTCTAAAAGATCATGTAACAGATCTGGGGGGTAGCCACCAATTGCATGAAAGTACTTCAAATTGTCACTCAATGGACAACTACTCTTTACACCATACTGTGCCACCAAAGTTCTATCCTGTAGAACATCCTGAATATGCTGTTGGTGCTTTTCTTTTGTCCTCATTTCAAAAGAGCCAGACCTAACTTCTTTGATTTGGATGTCATCTCTTGTGGCCAAGCAAAATCTACAAGGGAAATTCACCCTAAAACTCTCTTGAAAGCCTGCCAGCAAATGGGCACCAAGATTATCTGCCAAGACATGCAGAACAGATCCCCTTACACATGATCCACGCTGCTCAACATAGACTCCCTGCTCTTCAAGACATTTCAGGTCCTCAAGTAATGGGCATGGTATTTTTGAGTAGCTATGCTGCTTAACTACATCTGTTTTACACAGAAGAGCTAGCTGAATGGTGTGCAAAGATGATGTGTGTTTTGCTGGTAAGTTTGCAATAACCCAGTAGATAGCACACATTTTGTGTTTTTTTCGTGACGTTCCAAGTGGATTGGCCACTTCAAAATCATCTATATAGAGATTAAGGGATATTCGACAATCATCTGCAAAAAATGAATTATCTCTATAATGCGTACCATCCCTGTAACTGCTGTATCCCATCGCTCTCTCCCCTGAAGCCAGGACCTCATCAAGAACTTCTGGTTTATTTAGCAATTTCTGCAACATTTGGATAATTGGGATATACACATAATACTGCTCATCTCTATCTACTTTGTACTCAACAGGGCTTACAACTGAATATTCTCTCATGAAGTATGATGCCCTCCTATTGGACGTTGAAAGAGGACCTCCTTCATTTGTACAATGTAGCAGCACATTGCTTTCAGTTACTGCCCTGACTAGCTTCTTCACAACTGTGCTGTCTACTTTATCATAGTGCTTCTCAACAGTTTGCTGTATTATATTATACAACAGTGGCTCAGACAATAAATGAATCTGATTCAACTGTTGTATAATTTCTTGTGTCGCATTTTCAGAAATATGCAAGATTGTTCGCATTTTGAGAAAAAGTGATGCTAAACTGTGTTCCAACTTTTGTTTTGTATCTTCCAAATTGACTTGTTCCTCTGCCATATTACATTCATCTTCACTGCCTGAGTTGTCATTAAGTGAATAAACTATATTTTCTTGTGTGTCACCAAACGCAGTACTTAACATAACCCCCAATTTAAAATCCTCATGGCAATGTTGCTGGTGTGCCTTACTTTTATGTGCATTAAAAGTGGAATACACATTTGTCTCAAATGAACAATCTTTAAAAGGACACTGAACTTTCTCACTATTCCTCAAATGAGTACGCAAATGGGCAAAATATTCTGACTCGCTGCATGGTTCTTTAAAATCACAAACATGGCATTTGTAAGAAACTAAAGCATGGCTAGAGTTACTTGATTGTGCACTTCTTTGTTGAGAATGATTTTTTGATAAATGTACTTTTAAAGCGTTAAAAGATTTTAAAGTACATGGACACTCAGTATGGAGACATGGTACTGGAGCAATTCGTGAATATGCTCCATGGCTTATGCGGTAGTGTTTAAAAAGTTGTGCCCTCTTTTCTGATGTGTATGAGCAAGACTTACATTTCCACTGCATATCCCAAACTGGTAGTCTGAAAAGAAAAAATTATATATATTAAGAGTGTAACGATATCACAAACCAAATATAATACCCACAATACGCATCACAATACTCTAATGGTGTGCTACAATCCTCTTTTGTCCCCCCACTGTCCATTGATGTGGATGAAGTCACAATTTTTTTCTTCATTCACATTTAATAAAACAGTACCTAGACTAATAGATGCATTTTGTTTTAAATATTTAACTTCAGTTAACTTTTACATTTATAAATTACTGTCTCAGGTACAAGTCTGTCATGACAGCATGTTTACACCTGCTATTAAGATTCGTTTTAATAGATTTTTAAAGTATACTGCACCATGGTTACACCCCTAGCTTAAAAAAAGAGCAAATAAACAATAAAATATAGTGCTTTAATTTTTATTGTTATGATCCTAATATAATTTTGTATATGTATATAATTAATATATTTAAAAAGATTTTAAAATTATCAATTATTTTAAATACATAAACACTGTAACTGTTCGAATGTATTTACCTTAAATTGCCAAAAATAAGTGAAACTTTGTTTAAAAGTGCAAACAAACAGGTTTGGTAATATATATATATATATATATATATTCTTTGTTCTACGCGTTATACCATTTCATCACTATCCATCACACATTCTGTCGCATATCTGTTCATACTTCATATTTGTCATTACAGCAACATAAAAACACTCCATTAGGGTAACATAATGTTAACACTTGAATATTCCTTCACAAAAGGCATGAAGAAAGGACAAATAACACATAGAACCAAAAAAATGTACAATTTTTACAATATACGACTTGTCTGTCCTTAAATCTCTCTCGTATTGTCATGAGCTTGACGTTAACTTTTACTATGGAATTAATATGGAATGTTAGCACAGCACCCTTTAGCCTTATGTATAAAATATAACTGCCTCATACGTGCCACGAAACGTAATCGCATCGCAATCCTAAATACTTACGACACTCACGGATCCCTTTTGAGCTGAAACTGTTTAAGTTGGTTTAAAAGCTTCGGCGATCGCAGAAAAAAAGCGACTGCTCTGTCTGGTCACGAGACGCTCGCTAATGGCGGACCAGAGCTGATCTCCTCAACTGCTTTCTGTAGGTTACCTGTTAATCCTTTTTAAAACACGCATATTTTCGTCACAACCAGCGTTGCTAACGTTCAACGGTAACTAATGTATTTTAATGAGGCCAAAAGGTTTCGTTTTCTTTTCTTAAAATGCAGACCTACCATTGTACTGTGTTAACGTTAACTTACATCTATTTGAATGGATTGCGCGCGCTCTCGCCCTCACAGTGCATCATTTGAAATGGCGCGGCCCGCTCTTTTAGAGCATAAAGCCCACTTAGCAAATCATAACAACAAGAGCATTTATTAATAGTTGTTAAAATGAACTAGCCAGCTGACTTCACAGATATTAATCTGAAAATAGCTAATATAGTAAAGTAGACACTGCTGCAAATAACATGCAGTGGTTAAAAATTTAGTCACAACATAATGGGCTAAAAATTACAACGGTTCACAAAACAGCAAACAATACACAAAGTGCAGGGAGTTTACTGATACCATACAAATAAAATCAAAGTAGTAATTAAAATTAAAGGTTTACCTTGATTTACCGAAGCAGATCTCCTCAATCTGAACTCCTGCTCGTGCCATGCATGCTTCTGACTTCAACTGTATAAACATTTATTATCGCAGTCGCGTAAATGATTAGTTAAAGCCTTTTTATGTTTATTCAGATCTTATTTTCATTCAGCTACAGCAATAGCTGATGCCTTCATCCATATTAAGGATTTCCTGGACTGTTCTGCTACTTTTGTGAGGCATATCTGGAATTTCTGCTCAATGAATGAATGAAACAGGCATTACTTGCATTTAAAGTGCTACAATGCCCACATCACCTTATTTTGAGGAAAACTGAAAAAAAACTCCCTCAAAAGAAATTTGAAGTAAACACATTTCTAGCATATAAATCTTTATTTTTATTTTTGTACTATTTTTGATAAAATTTTTATTATGTCAAAAATAGTAGCCTATTGAATATCAATATTTTGCAAGGTAATGAATTTAGAAATTCCAGTATCTTGACAACACTACACCTTAGTTAATTTGTTTGTAGCTTTGTATCACATTGGATAACAACTCACAATATAAAATAAATCATATTTTTTAGATTTGAAGACATGCAGACAATTACATTTTCAAAAAACAGAAACTGCAAATCAGGAGAGAAGATAGGAGGCTCAAGAGGTATGATATGGCTCACAACAGACTAGTAAATGAGAAGTGGGACA